TCGTGCGACACGTTCACCCCGTGCGATCGGGCAAACTTGACGGGGTTCTCTCTCCAGGCCCTCACGGTGTTCACCATCGCCTCCATATCCAGGGAAGCCAAAACTAGTGAGAAGAAACCAGCTTCATATAGACACCACGATGCACGCGCCCGTTTAGAAAAACGTGAAACTCAGTGTGAATGTATGTAAATTAAAGAAGTGAATGTATAATAAAGTTATTTAAATGTTGTTTTTTAATAATAATAATAATAGGAGAGTGATAAATAAAATATACTTAGGAAAATATACATTACTGCATCCTACAGCGAACACTGTTCTTACCATCCCATTGCTTAAAGCCGTCGTCCCCGACTTGTATTTGATCTTGTGGCTGAAACATAGTGATCAATAAAACAATGCTGCAAAGGCAGGCTGATCAGTTACTTAAGATCCGATCACAGCCTGGACGCTACTGCAAAACACACGCACTCACACACACACGCACACACACACACACACACACAAGGCAGGTTCTGTCTTAGCAAAACTGCAGTGGCGCACACCAATACACCCACCCCATCCCCCTTGTCCCAAGAACCTTAAAATGCACATTTTATTTTTATTTATATATTTTGCTCTGGAGTATTGGTCAAATTGCTTCTCCCGATTTCAAAGGCTGCCTGAAATGAGCGCATTGGACACGGCCTCACAACTCTGCATTTTAGTAAAGATATTTCATTTGAAGTCACTGCTCTACGGGTTAGATTTTTGCCGGGGGCCCCCCCGATGCAATCGGAAAGGGTCTGACCGAATGAAGCTATTGTGTTGACAACTGGGAATCAGAAAGAAAAAAAATAACACACACTAAGACGCGTTGCCTAAATGGAGGTGTGTTGTTTTACTTGGGGGGACTTTGGTGCTCTCTGAGCTGGGTGGTTTTCTTGCAGATGTTTCATGACCCCACTAATGGGGTTTGCAAAGAAAAAGAGGAGGAGGAGGAGGAGGAGGAGGAGGAGGAGGAGGAGGAGGAGGAGAAGGACTGTTGCTTCCCTATTTCTCTCTGAGCTTGGTGGTTTCCTTGCAGACATTTTATTACCCAACTAGGGAACATCATCAGTACTAGAAAGAAGTGGGGTTTGCAGGGGGGAAGATGAGGAGGAGGACAGCAACTGTGGGGTCCCTGGTGCTCTTTGAGCTTGCAGATGTTTCATGACCCAGCTAGGGAACATCAACAGTGCTAGGGAGGGGGATTTGCTGGGAGGAGGAGGAGGAGGAGGAGGAGGAGGAGGAGGAGGAGGAAGAGGAAGAGGAAGAGGAAGAGGAAGAGGAAGAGGAGAACTGTGGGGTCCTTGGTGTTCTCTGAACTTGCTTGTTTTCTCGCAGACTTTTCATGACCCAACTGGGGAACGTCATCAGTGCTAGAAGGGAGGGGGATTTGCAGGGAGGAGGAGGAGGAGGAGGAGGAGGAGGAGGAAGAAGAAGAAGTCTGTGGGGTCTTTAGTACTCTCTGAGCTTGGTGGTTTTCTTGCAGACATTTCATGACCTGACTAGCTAACATCATCCGTGCTAGAAGTGTAGGGTTGTCTCTCTTATTATATACACATATATTTTACACGTTGCCTTCAGGACTGTTTCTATGAACTGTAACTATTATACAAAACCGTAGTTAGAATAATAGTTGGAGATTTCTGGCTTTCTTTTTCTTCTTGATCTGTAAACAGTCCCGGGTCTGAAGTTTCTCTCTGAGCTGGGTGGTTTCCTTGCAGACGTTTCATGACCAAAGCACCAATATTGTTATCTAGTTGGGTCATGAAACGTCTGCAAGAAAACCACCCAGCTCAGAGAGCACCCAGGACCCCTTATTTCTACCCCAAGCTACAAATATTCTCTTCCAATAAGTACAATATATGTTTCCCTAAATGTTAAGACTGCCACAGAATTCTAGGTGCTCCAAACCTATTAATATCTCCATTTCCTTAATCTTAATCTTGGTCAATAAGGCTATCAACAGTTGGGTCACTGAGTTAAGAGACCCAGAGGTTGGATCAGTACAACAATGCAGCCACGAGGTCAGTAAACCCAACAGCTGGGCTCTTATGTCCGGTGACCTCCAGACAAGTAAATTGTCTGGCGTGAATGACCAGGTCCACACACGAAGGTGCAACGAAACTGATCTATTGCTAAAAGCTTACACAACAGTTAGCACCTGGAAGGAATTAGATAAAGGTCAATGGAATTCAAGGAAGATTGGGTTCATTTCACTCATGGCTATATAGGGATTCCTGGCTGATCCCGTTCTTGAGTCTGAGTTTAATTACCTGGATTTATATTCTGCTCAGGAGAGAAAGGATTTTTTTCATCATCTCAGCCCAACCAGGCAACAAAATAGAATAGAATAGAGCTGGAAGGGACCTTGGAGGTCTTCTAGTCCAGCCCTCTGCTCAAGCAGATGAACCTACACCATCTCAGACAAGTGACTGTCTAGCCTCTTCTTAAAAACTTCCAGTGATGGAGCGCCCACGATTTCTGGAGGCAACTTCTGTTCCACTGGTTAATTGTCCTCACTGTCAGGAAGTTTCTCCTTAATTCCAGGTTTGCTTCTCTCTTTGGTCAGTTTCCAACCATTGTTTCTCGTCCTTCCCTCTGGTGCTTTGGAGAATAACTTGACCCCCTCTTCCTTGTGGCAGATACTGGAACGCTGCTATCATGTCTCCCCTATTTCTTCTTTTGTTTAGACTAGCTAAACCCAAGTCCTGCAGCCGCTCTTTGTAGGTTCTTCTTCGTATATCTAACCCTGTTTCCTAGAAACTCAAGGAATAATGTGTCCATCATCCTTGCTTTTGGTGCCATTCTGCCCGGATTCCTTTGAGTGCCAAAGAAATCCCGGTCTAAAAATCAGAATTCCAAAATCCACTGGAAAGAATTTTACTCCTCCAAAATCTGGAGATTGGGAATATTCTACCTATCTGATGCAAAGGGATTGAGGAACCATGATGGGTTCATCCTGCTTATATCAAAGGACCTGCTGTCCATTTTTTCTAGGGCTAAGATATATTTGTCCCAAAGTTGCTTTTTTTCAGGAGGCAACTGGACTTTCTTGTTTTATCTTTGAAGACGTTTTGCTTCTCATCCCAGAAGCTTCTTCAGCTTTGACTGGATGGTGGGGAATGGAAGGATTTACATTCCTTGCAGTCATCTGATCATTAGTTCTCTCTCTGAGAGTCATTGAGGCCACTTGGAGGTTTATCTGTGTCCTCAGGGTCACCTGAGGGGTGCAAATGGGTGTGGAGCCTTCTTGGAACTGCTGAAAGAACTGTGTTGTAGATGGGAGATGGATGATGTCATATCCCTCCCCCTCTGTTGAGAGAGGGCTGGTCAATTTTGACCTAGATGCCCTCTTGGACCCGTCTCTCAAGCCAGCGGTCCTCTCTGTCCAGAATGTTGTAATAATAATAATAATAATAATAATAATAATAATAATAATAATAATAATAATAATAATAATAGATTTGGAAGGGACCTTGGAGGTCTTCTAGTCCAACCCCCTGCTCAGACAGGAAATCCTATACTATTTCAGACAAATGGCTGTCTAGTCTCTTCTTAAAAACTTCCACTGTTGGAGCATTCACCGCTTCTGGAGGCAGGTTGTTCCACTGGTTAATTGTTCTAACTGTCAGGAAGTTTCTCCTTAGTTCCAGGTTGCTTCTCTCCTTGATCAGTTTCCATCCATCCATTGCTTCTTGTCCTGTCCTCAGGCGCTTTGGAAAATAGCTTGACCCCCTCTTCTTTGTGGCAGCCCCCGAGATATTGGAAGATTGCTATCATGTCCCCCCGCGTCCTTCTCTTCATTAAACTAGACATACCCAATTCCAGCAGCCGTTCCTTATATGTTTTAGCCTCCATCTTTGTTGCTTTTCTCTGTACTCTTTCTAGAGTCTCAACATCTTTTTTACATCGTGGTGACCAAAACTGGATGTTGTATTCCATGTGTGGCCTTACCAAGGCATTGTAAAGTGGTATTAACACTTTGCGTGATCTTGATTCTATCCCTCTGTTAATGCAGCCTAGCACTGTGTTGGATTTTTTGGCAGCTGCAGCACACGGCTGGCTCCTATTTAAATGATTGTCCACTAGGACTCCGAGATCCCTCTCACAGTTACTACTATTGAGCAAGGTACCCCCTATACTATACCTGTGCATTTGGTTTTTCTTGCCTAAATGTAGAACCTCACTTTTTTCACCCTTGAATTTCATTTTGTTAGATAGCGCCCAGTGTTCAACTCTGGACTTTGTGGACTTTGCTGTCTTCGAAAGAGTGGCCTTCGTCTTTCAAATACAGAGGGATTGCTGAATCTAGTCCGGATGGGCTTGTTCTCCTATGTGGATTGAGAAGCGAAACGTCTTCAAAGAAAAACAAGAAAGTCCAGTTGCCTCGTGGAAAAGCATCTGGGTGACAGAGAATTTCCAGAGATATTTGGGTTGCAGTTCTCTGGATGGACATGTGGTGGCGGTACTGGAAGCCTGTTTCCTTGTCTGCTGGCTCCAAAATCCACAGCTCAGATTAGGTAGTCCCTAATGCTGGGTTTCCCAAACTTGGCCACGTGTGGACTTCAACTCCCTCATGGCTGGCTAGGGAATTCTGGGAGTTGTAGTCCACAGGTCTTGAAGTTGCCAGGCTTGGGAAACACTGGTCTCATCCCTGTTTTTATTTATTTATAGGTCTTTTTATTAGTTTATAATATAAAATACAAAAATAAATAATAGGAAAAATAGGAGAGGGAAAAAGGAAGGGAAAAGTGTAGGAAAAAAGAGAAAAGGGAAGAAAAGGCATTGAAAGGAAATGGCTGGCTGAGAAATTATGGGAGTTGAAGTCCACCCATGTTAAAAGTTGCCAAGCTTGGGAAACCCTGATTTAATTAATCCCTGTTGCATTTGGCCAAATTAAACGTGTGTTTCTTTCACTGGGCGAATATCACATGCCATGCCAATCTCTACGGAGGCCTCTCGATGTCCTATTTTTGAAGTGAGAGAGTTGTGAGAGGCAGCCACACACTGGCAAAAAAATATCTTATCTACACGGGCACATATTATCCGCCACACAAGGTATGTTAAGTGGGGTCCGATTTATCCATAGCACAGACTGTGGGCCCCACAGAGAAAATGTTAGATTAAGGGAGAATGGCTTTCAGAACAGTGAGCTGTGCCCAGAAAGAGACAATTGAGAATTGAGAGGGGAAATATCTGCAACCCCATTGTATAATTATCCTGCTTTACTTTTTTTTTTTAAATAAAATCAAGCATGTATGTCAATGCAAAAAATAAAGTTCGGATAAACATCTTTCACATATGCACAGATTTAAAATGTGCATATATCTATATCTATATCTATATCTATATCTATATCTATATCTATCTATCTATCTATCTATCTAGATAGATAGATAGATAGATAGATAGATAGATAGATAGATAGATAGATAGATAGATAGATAGATAGATAGATAGATAGATAGATAGATAGATAGATAGATAGATAGATAGATAGATAGATAGATAGACAGACAGACAGATAGAGATAGATATAGATATATTATCTTCTGGGTGAGGCACCCGGTCTACAAATATAAATCAGTCTGTTCTGCATTTCGCTCCAATCTAGGAGCATGTTTTGCAGGCAGACATCACATACTGTGAGCACTATAAATTCAAAATTTGTGGCTGGCAAAGAGTTAGTGGGAGACTAGTATAGCTATTTCAGGCTCATTAGCCCTCATCAGCTAGTCACACCCTTCAGGGATTCGAACCTGGGCAGCTTGCATGTTAGGAAATACAGCTGCCTAACATGCAAGCTGCCCAGGTTTGAATCCCTGAAGGGTGTGACTAGCTGATGAGGGCTAATGAGCCTGAAATAGCTATAATAGTCTCCCACTAACTCTTTGCCAGCCACAAATTTTGAATATAAAATTTTGTGGCTGACAAAGAGTTAAATGGGAGACTAGTATAGCTATTTCAAGCTCTTTAGCTGTCATCAGCTAGTCTTACCCTTCTGGGATTCAAACCTGGGTAGCTTGCATGTTAGGCAGCTGTATTACTGTAGCATTTAGGCCACAGGATCCTCCTCACTCTTGTCAGTAGAGGCCAGGGAGGGTATATAACTAGGTGTTGGGCATTTGGTTTTGAAACACTGGAGGTTTTTAAAAAGAGATTGGACAACCATTTGTCCGAAATATTATAGGCTTTCCTGCTGGAGCAGGGGGTTGGACTAGAAGACCTCCAAGGTCCCTTCCAACTCTGTCATTTATTCTGTGATTATATCCGTTTGATGCAGGAAATCCCTACGAGAATCGCTAAAGAGAGGAAGGGGAGTGAGGCAGTTTTTTGGGGGGAACGGAGGGGGACACACCCACTATTTGAGCCAAATATGTAGAAATGCTCATCTATATTTTTCAAACGAAAACGCATATATATTTCTTATGACCTGTGAATAAAAGGGAGATTACTTTATATCACTGTTTTTCAACTCGGGCAACTTTAAGATGCCTGGACTTCAATTCAATGGGAGTTGTAGTCCACGTATCTTAAAATAGCCAAGTTTGAAAAACGCTGCTTTATACTGTACAACGGACAGCGCCGATAAAGACCAGGGGTGTTTATGTTTCAGATTGGGCAAGGGTCTCAAAACACATCTGTCCTCTTGCCCCTACTCACATTAACCATTGCCTCCCAAATGGGGAGGGGGAGCTTGCACCCTAGGTCCAATCTGGAGTTAAGAAGGCAGTTCCTGTGCTTCGTTCCACCCCGATTCCCCCATTTCTCAGTTCATTCAATCAACCCCTAGATCAACCCAAAGTAGAAAGTTCAACCTACCTTGAAGAAGTCATCCTGGTGGACCACGCAACAGTTGGGGAGAGCTTGGGTAAGTCTATTGGTCAAAGTGGTCTTGCCCCCATTGGTCACCCTAGAGGAAGGAAGGTGAAGCAGAAGAGCGAAGACGAGATTAGGACGAGGACCGTGGGAAGAAGCCGAGTGGGGAGATGAGGACCAGGGTGGCCTTCTCTGAGAAGAAGCGGGACCTCCTTCTCCTTCTCAAAGGTCCCCAAAGATCCCCAGACCTCTGTGTGCCCCACAACTCTGTGGGCTGAAGGGGGACCTACTTCAGAAAGACAGGGCTTTCAAGCAATGTTTCTCAACCTCAACAATTTAGTGGACTTAACAGACTTCAACATCTGAACGGATCAACATCTGAATAGGCTAACATCTGAATGGACTTCAACATCTGAATAGACCAACATCTGAATGGACCAACATCTGAATGGATCAACATCTGAATGGACCAATATCTGAATAGACCAACATCTGAATGGACCAACATCTGAATGGATCAACATCTGAATGGACCAATATCTGAATGGACCAATATCTGAGTAGACCACAATTTGAATGGATCAACATCTGAATGGACCAACATCTGAACAGACCACCATCTAAATGGATTGACATCTGAATGGACCAACATCTAAATGGATCAACATCTGAATGGACCACCATCTAAATAGACCACCATCTGAATGGATCAACATCTGAATGGACCAACATCTGAATGGACTTCAACTCCCAGAGTTCCCCAGTCTAGCATGCTGGCTCAGGAATTCTGGGAGTTGAAGTCCACGAGTCATAAAAGAGCCAAGGTTGCCTACCCCTGGTCTAGTGTCACCTGCTTCGTACTTTGAAGAATTAAGAGTCAGGCCTGCACAACAAGTGACTCCCTAGGCCAGGAGTGGGGCATCATGGTCCTTTTATGACTTGTGGACTTCAACCCCCAGAATTCCTGAGCCAGCCCTGCTCAGGAATTCTGAACCATTGCTGGCTCAGGAATTCTGGGAGTTGAAGTCCACAAGTCATAAAGAGGCCATTGTTCCCCACCTGTGTCCTGAAACGCCATGCCGCCTTAGGAATTCTGGGAGTTGAAGTCCAAATCATAAAGGGACCACGGTTCCCCACCCCTGACCTACAAGAACTGTGTTATAGGGAGCCCTTGACTTAATGACTGAAGTTATAAGCTCCTCAAAAAGAAAATATGGGACCCAGATCCAAAATTCTATTCTTTGGGGGGGGGCGCTTTCCCCGTAGTCACGTGACCACCCTTTGGCCATTTGGCAACATGGCCGCATTGATAGATGTTTGCAGCCACCCCTGGTCACATGAACAACGGGCCCTATTCAACAAAATGCATTTTAATGTGGAGAAAAGCAAAGTTTTACATTTAGGCAGGAAAAATCAAAAGTACAAGTACAGACTAGGCGAGATCTGGCTCAAAACCAGTAACTGTGAGAGGGACCTCGGAGTCCTAGTGGACGATCACTTGATTATGAGCCAGCCGTGTGCAGCAGCAGCCAAAAAAGCTCACACAATCCTGGGTTGCATAAACAGAGGCGGAGAATCAAGATCACACAAAGTACTAGTACCACTTTATAAAATCCTAATAAGACCACACCTGGAATACTGCAGCCAATTTTGGTCACCATATCACAAAAAAGATGTTGAGAGCTTGGAAAAAGTGCAGAGAAGAGCAACTAAGAAGAGCAACTAAGACAATCAAGGGCCTGGAGACTAAAACATACGAAGAACGGCTGCGGGACTTGGGTTTGGCTAGTCTAAAGAAAAGAAAAAATAAGGGAGACATGATAGCAGTCTTCCAGTATCTGAGGGGTTGCCACCAAGAAGAGGGGGTGAGGTTGTTCACCAAAGCACCAGAGGGCAGGACGAGAAATAATAGTTGGAAATTGACCAAAGAGAGAAGCAACCTGGAATTAAGGAGAAACTTCCTGACAGTGAGGACAATTAACCAGTGGAACAGCTTGCCACCAGAAATCGTGGGCGCTCCATCATTGGCAGTTTTTAAGAAGAGTCTGGACAGCCACTTGTCTGAGATGGTATAGGTTCTCCTGCTTGAGCAGGGGGCTGGACTAGAAGACCTCCAAGGTCCGTTCCAGCTCTATTCTATTCTACAACCGTCAGCTTTCCAGCAAAACTGCGTCCCTAGCAAAGTATCAGTTCACACTTAACAACTGCCACGTTCACTTAATGACCGCCACAAACGCATTATAAAAGTGGGTTAGACACATGACTCAACCATTTTACAGCCATTCCAACTTAGCAACTGTAATTGGCAGAAACCCCCCCCCTTAAGGTTGCAATTTGAGAAATTTCAGAGATGCCCCCTGTAATCAATAAAAGTCTGGCAGCAACGCTTCGGACATAGTAAATCAGTAGTACTGTTCTAATAAGTACATCAATAAATAACCCTATAAAATAATACTTTAAATAAATACTGTAATTGTAAAAGAATGAGTCATGAGAGTTAAATAAAATAAAATTAATACATTTAATAGGTAATGTTTATGGAACCTTTTTTAGGCTTATTTTTCTTGTTTATGACTAACTTCATTACATGTTATTACAGTATTATTAATTTATTGATTGATGTCACCAAGCGGTGTTACCAGGATGCTACTGAGTTGGGCCCCAAATACATGATCCTTTGCTTTAAATCAGGGGTAGGCAACCTTGGCTCTTTTATGACTCGTGGACTTCAACTCCCAGAATTCCTGAGCCAGCATGGGGGAACTATGGCCCCTTCATGACTCATGGACTTCAACTCCCAGAATTCCTCAGCCAGCATGGGGGAACTATAGCTCTTTCATGACTTGTGGACTTCAACTCCCAGAATTCCTGAGCCAGCATGGGGGAACTATGGCCCCTTCATGACTCACGGACTTCAACTCCCAGAATTCCTCAGCCAGCATGGGGGAACTATGGCTCTTTCATGACTCGTGGACTTCAACTCCCAGAATTCCTGAGCCAGCATGGGGGAACTATGGCCCCTTCATGACTCGTGGACTTCAACTCCCAGAATTCCTCAGCCAGCATGGGGGAACTATGGCCCCTTCATGACTCGTGGACTTCAACTCCCAGAATTCCTCAGCCAGCATGGGGGAACTACGGCCCCTTCATGGCTCGTGGACTTCAACTCCCAGAATTCCTGAGCCAGCATGGCTCAGCTTGGAAACCTCTCCCTTTCCCCTCAGCATGGCTGGCTCGGGAATTCTGGGAGTTGAAGTCCACCAGTCATAAAAGAGCCAAGGTGGCCTACCCCTGATTTAAATGTTCCGTTTTTTAAGAATAAAAGTTGCAAAAGCTCTTTTATGCTGTGGCACGAGTAGTTGTTTTTTTTCCCCTAGAAAAACAAATTGTATTTGGGCTCCTAAGTTTCTAAAAGAACACACACACACACACACACACACACACACCAAATTTCAACATCCACCCCTTCTGAGTGAGCAACAGAGAAGAATCGGGCTGCATTTATCGGGCTGCCCTCCCCCCAAATCTGGAGCCCACCCCATGGGTTGGATGCTCTCGGCTGGGAATGATGGGAGCAGTGGTCCCACCGCTGAGTTCGCCTCGTTTTTCTATTTTGCACCCAGGGCAAAACAGAAGAGAGGGGAGGGGACAGGAAGAGCGCCTATTCAAAAAAAAAAAGCGCGCTTATTCAAAAAAAAGGGGCAAAAAGCGCGCCTTTCCTAAGCGGGCTCATGATTGGCTGGCCGGCGGGCGGGCGCTCGGTCGGATTGGCGCCGGCCGTGAATGAAGGCAATGACGCAAGCACGAAGGAAGAAAATGAATGAATGAATGAATGAACGGACTTTCCCGCCCTGCCGGTTAAACGTTCTGTAGCCTTTTTTTTTTCCCCTCGATCTTTTGAATGGGCTTGGCGGGCGCGGGAAAGGAAGGCGGGAAGAACGGAGCGGGAGGGGGGGCTAGAGAGAAAAGCCCCCCCCCGTTCTATTTGGACGTGTGGGGGAGGGGCGGTGGTTCTCCTTGTTTCTCTGAGCCCCGTTAAGGGCTTCAACGCCTTTTAACGCAAAGAGTGACCGGAGGTTTTTTTTGGGGGGGGGGGAAGGGATCATCCTGGGTTTTGGGGGGCAGGGCAGGAATAAATGTGGGGTGGGGGGAGAGCCCTCGTACGATTTCTTACATCCGTTTGGTGGGAGGGGGAGAGGCGTATCGTCAATTTTTCTCTATTATTCGTATAGGTTCTCAAACTTGAGCAGGGGGGGCTGGACTAGAAGACCTCCAAGGTCCCTTCCAGCTCTATTCTATTCTATTTATTAAATTTCTATGCCGCCCATAGTATAGGGGGTACCTTGCTCAATAGTAGTAACTGTGAGAGGGACCTCGGAGTCCTAGTGGACAATCACCTAAATATGAGCCAGCCGTGTGCTGCAGCTGCCAAAAAGGCCAACACAGTGCTGGGCTGCATCAACAGAGGGATAGAATCAAGATCACGTGAAGTATTAATACTACTTTACAATGCCCTCGTAAGGCCACACTTGGAATCCAGCATCCAGTTTTGGTCACCATGATGTAAAAAAGATGCTGAGACTCTAGAAAGAGTCCAGAGAAGAGCAACAAAGATGATCAGGGGACTGGAGGCTAAAACATACAAGGAACGGTTGCTGGAATTGGGTATGTCTAATTTAATGAAGAGAAGGACGAGGGGGGACATGATAGCAGTCTTCCAATATCTCAGGGGCTGCCCCAAAGAAGAGGGAGTCAAGCTGTTCTCCAAAGCGCCCAAAGGCAGAACAAGAAGCAACGGATGGAAACTGATCAAGGAGAGAAGCAACCTAGAACTAAGGAGAAACTTCCTGACAGTGAGAAAAATTAACCAATGGAACAACCTGCCTCCAGAAGCGGTGAATGCTCCAACACTGGAAGTTTTTAAGAAGAAACTGGACAGCCATTTGTCCGAAATGGTATAGGGTTACCTGCCTGAGCAGGGGGTTGGACTCGATGACCTCCAAGGTCCCTTCCAACTTTTTTATTATTATTATTATTATTATTATTATTATTATTATTATTATAGCACAGAGGTGTGACTCTGGGCTTTTTAAT